GTTGTCTCACTTGAAGATTATGGCGACCGTCAGCTTGATAAGCGCAATAGCTCAGACTATTGGAATCCAAACTGTACTATTGTGGCGTTTAACAAAACGGATTTCAAGCAGCTTCCCAACGGATCCATCTATTCGAGTCATCACAGGAAGACTTACAATAACAACACCTACAAATTTATTGACGATAAACTACTGTTATGTGTAAATCTTTCGAGGAACTTTACTGGTACAGATTTGAAGCGCGATTATCAGTGGACTGAGATCACTAGAGCCACGCCAACATCACTGCAGCTTTTCGCTTTTATTGGATCCATACTGTCGATGGTCTCTCTAATTCTTCTGCTTTTGACATACATCATGTTTACTGAGCTCCGCAACCTAACTGGGAAAATCATTATAAACTTGGCCATCTCTCTTCTGCTGCATCAGAGTTGTTTCTTTGCAGGAGGAGAGATCAAAGATCCCGAGACGTGTATGTCAGTTGCAGTTTTACTCCATTTCTTTGTTCTCTCTTCTTTTACTTGGATGAGCGTAAAGGCTTATGATGTGCATCGGATTTTTGCTCCGTTAAGCAAGTTCAATTTCCTGAAAGAGTCCTTGAAATTTTTTTCTGAAAAAGGGTACGAACCTAGCATATGTTTATCGCTTGCATTACGAAGATGTGATGAAAATGTGAGGTGCTTGGACAAGATGCTTCACTGTTGCATCAGCCCCTCCAGCCAGGAGCGGGTAATGCAACAGTGAGGAAATTCCAGGGTGGGGTGGGGGTGAGGGTAACGGTTTAGGTATCTTGCTATGGTCTATCATCCCTTCGAGTTACCCTTGCAATGCTTGCAATTGCTTCATGGGAGAGAATCTTGGTAAACCCTTCAAGAGGTAGTGTTCTCCCCAAAGTTTACTCTTATGAATAGACTTTACTCAGTCCCAATTCCTCGAGATGTTTGAAAGACAGATTTCTGCCACATAGCAGCCAAAGGGAGAGAGAGAGAAAGAGAGGTCCGTAGCAAGCGAGGTCCTTACTTCGCTGAAGACCTGTTGAGTTCTCTAGCTCAGTAACTTCCCGATTCAGCCCTCTAATAAATCACTAAGTTAACACTATAACCTAAGTTGGTCCTAACGCGCTTAGCATTATTTCAAAAGAAGGATCGGGAGTTGCAGTGAATCTACATGATAGCGACAAGAAACGTCTTACGGTGTACTGTGTGTATGCCTGGGGAGTTCCGGCTGTGATCGTCGTCACATGTGTCGTAATTGATCATATACAAAGAGGAGCTATCGGATATGGTGAGTTTTTTGCTTTGCTAAATTATTGATGCAATTGAGGAATAAACCATCATCGGAGCTTTCGTTGATTCTTTGTAGGTAGGGAATGTTTATAAAATTAGTTATTGGCGAGTTCCTTGCATTTCTAAAGCATTGAGGGTGCAGAAAAATTGACCTTTGTTAAAGCTCTAGTTTATTGCTTTTGGTTAGGGAGTACATTTCCATACCCATATGAGGGACCAATCATTTGAACTTTTTTTCGCTTGGGTGGTGACACGAAGGATTTTTGTGGGATCACATGGTCTTCTTTGGAAGAGGAACAGCAGTTGCTAACATAGTATGAAGGGTGGGACTATAGAAAACTGACTGCCAATTAACTACCAACGAGGGTGTGGTAATTAGTGAATAATGTAACTTGTTGTAAATGTTTTTCTTTGTTAGAGCAGTTTTCAAAGAACTGTCGAAACCAAATAAATCCCAGCGACCAATCAGAACAAAGGTTAACATCATCCCTGTCCAGTAAGAACTCAAAGTAGAAACAGGCAATCTCCTTAAAGCGTTGGAAAATGCAAGTGACCAGGCTGGGATTTGCATTTGATTGGTTGAGATGGTGATAACCAGTCCCAGAGCGAAGTAAAGCAAAACCAAAGCAATCTAACTAGGATCACTTTGCAAAATGCTCTTAATGTTTATTTATTATTCTATTAAAGGAAACTCAAAAAATCACCCATCAGCGACAAAGCAACAGTGTGGCTGTAATTTGCGTCAAAATGGTGTCAGTCGTGGGCTTGACTTGGATTCTTGGAATTGTTGCGAATGTAAGGGCATTGTCGTTCTTCTGGTACCCGGATGTGATTATAAACAGTCTTCAAGGCAGGTTTTCTTTTACCATTGTATTTACTTCTTCTGTCTCTCCTCTTGGTATCGATCTTAGTATTGCCGTTTCGCAACTTGGTAGATTTCCATCTCTATTCATCTTCACTTTGGTAAATATTTTTTAGTTATATTTGTGACAATTCTGTGCCATGAGATTTACTTGTGTACGTGGACATTCATACGGAGTTCCTGCTATTCTTACCGAAACATCTAAGCATTACTTGAGGTACATCACATTGCTATATGCCTAGACTTTCACTCAACAAAACGAGCATTGATTGATTGATTCTCGGTCACGTGCCCCTGATTTAGTTCAAGTCAAATGTATCCCGATCGGGATACAATTGCGCAGTTGTTTCCAGCGCACCGAATATAACCGCATGCTTTTGCGATATGACTGTTTAAGGGAAAGTCTAAATATATAGCAAAGCGCTTAATGTATGGTCCCGCGGGAAACTGGTTAGTTTTGTCTTTCCTTGAGTCGTAATGTTTCCCGAGACGAAGTTGAGGGAAACATCAAGACTCCCGGAAAAACAAAACTAACTGTTTCCCTCGGGACCATACATTAAGGGTATATCATTCTCAGTAGCCAGAGACCTTGAACTTAAAAAAAAATTAAATGGAGGAACAGTAGCTAAGGTGTAAAGAAGTTCGGTGGGTGTTTTATAAAATAAGCACGGTTTACCCGTCATCCCCCCTACATTTCCTGAATTTTGCTCCTTTTCTTAATTAATAGGGCTATTTATTTATCTGGCATTCGCTGTGAGTGGAAGAGCTCTAGAGTTGTGCAGAGTTAAACTGAACAAATCGACAAAGAAACAACCAGCATTGAACCGAGACCAGATGCATTCCAACTGTACTCTGCAGTCCACTGCCAATGTAACTTGTGATTATCAAGGTAAACGAGATAATTACATCTAATAAAAAAAGCAAAGACAACAAGTAGATGGATATTGCAGCCTTTAGTGTCGGGCGTGTCTAGTCAGATGTACCTAACTTAAAGTGACAAGCACAACTAAAATGTGCTCAATTGAGGGCGCGTAAAGTTCCAACTGGTATTCGTGCTGGTAATGATGATAATAATTTAGTGATAAAAACGAGCGATAAAAAATATGAACGACGTTTCGACCGCTCCACGGTCATTTTCAAGTTAGAGTTCATGAGTAAATTTCCGCATATATACGATTTCTGAAACAATAGAATGAAGGTAAAAACCAAGTATTTACATGAGAACAATAAAGCTAATAACTAATAACAAAGTGCAAAAATGAGGTGTAGATAAGCGGTGAAAAGGATGAAAATTAATTGATATGAAGTGTTAAACAAACAGCTTCGCGCGAATAGAATCGCTCTGTTTGTTCAACTTTGGCTTAAGTTCCCGAATAAAAAGCATTTCGAAAATCAAACAATCGAACTTGTTTGAGCATTTCCTCAGGACGCTAAAGTTCTTTGCGATTTCACATGGTTGGATTCCATGTTCTCTTACATCAGTGACGTAAGTGGCGATTACGTGATTGATCCTGACGGTGTTCTTGGCGAGGATCCATTTCCTGTTTACTGTAACATGACTGACAAAAGAGGTATTGGAGTGACAATTATCAGTCATGACAGTGAGGACAGATTCCACGT